GTAGATATCACTTATGTGTTTTCTGAAAAATTGCAAAATAAATTCTCCAGTCTGGAACAATTGTTCTCTGAAGGACACGTTTTTTGGGAGCTGTTGAAGAATCGACGAACACGGTTTTGTTCGTCAATACCGCCAATTTCGATTCTTTCAAATATTTGAAAAAATAATTTTTGAAATGTTTTGGAAATTTTCGTTTTCGTGTATAGAGGTTTAATGATTATGGTGTGAGTTTATGTTTATTTTTGGCTAGAGCGTCTTTGATAGTGGGTCTATTGTCTGTGAAAGCTGGTTTGCGGGTTTTTAGCCGTTGATATCCGTTGCGCATGCGTGCATGGTGTGTTTGAGAATGAAAAGGTGTTATTTGGGAATACTGAGTTCGTTCAGTAATTTGGTTTGCTGCTTGGCGGCTCTGTGTGGTCAGAACAGTGGAAGATGGCCTACTGTTGATGTCCAGCCAATTCGTAGTTTACAATTACTCGGGCGTATGAGGTTAAGTAAAGACTGCTGTAAAAGTTTTTATTGCGTTTGAATTTTCTTTTGTCGATTTTAAGGAACTTAATGTAAAAGAGAATCGGATGCAAGACTTCCAACCTATTCTTTAGTCATAAGCAGGCAACATTGAGTAAACTGTGAAGACTTTGATAGCGTCGTTCTCTTTTCTCTGTCTTGTTCTTTTTATGTAATTATATATGCGCAGTAAGACGCTTATTGAATGCTTAGTATCATTGAGTGCCTTTTCGTATGTTAATTGTGTGCAGATACCTTCCTTTACAATTCTTCTTCTCTAGTCATTTTCAAGCGCAAGTGTTTCGACATTGTGAAAATCAATTGTGTGAGAGTTTTCTGATGATGTTGAGAATACTCGATGACACCTTACCATTTCTTACGTCTCGTGCATTTTCATCCATTTTTGTCCTTCGTTCTCTCGCTGTTTCTCCAACGTAAACACGGTCGTAGCTTATACAACGTACTTTGTAAACTAGTTTTTAATGTTAATGTTTTTCCAAAAGCAAAATCCACTTTTAGAAGTGGCATCATTTGCGTACCTTCTTTACATGTATCACGAATATTATCGATTCAGCTCCATAGTAAGCAATTGTGAAATAGATTTTTCGAACAGGTGCCGTTTGTTGTTTTGGTGGTGATAATCGTTGTGTTATTAACTCTCCTTCACGTACTCCTTTGCGTATAATATGTGGTGGATATCCATTGTCCGCTAATACCTCTCTTGATCGCTCGATTTCGTTTTTCTGATGTTCGTTCGTGGAACATATTCTCAAGTTTCGAATTGTCAGTGTTATTATCAGACCTGATTCGTATGACCTCAATTAATTACTGTCAATTTCTTGTATAAATCGATATTGATACACACGGTTGTTTCATTTTCGATCTTATAATAAGTGCATCCAAGAATGATGGCTATTCATTTTTCTCCATTTCCAACGTAGCTTTAATGTTTGCAATTGTTGATTCAGTTTAATACGTACAACTTAATTCGGCAAAATGTACCATCTCTTTCTTATTGACAAAAGTGTAGAGCGACAAAATTAGCTGTTAGCGACCCAACAGACATTTGTAATTAGTTATCTGTTCTAGCAACAGTTTACTACTGCTGGACAAATTGTTACACAAAGACGTTCTAATTTAGATCCAGTGACTGTTAACAATATTATTTTGTTACGATCAGTTGAAAGTAATAAGTTAAAAGATTGAATTGAAAAGAAAGTAAAAAGAAAGAATTTTTCTCAAAAAACAGAACTGCACTGAACCAAGTCGAACTGAGCCCGATATATTTTTTCTAAACGACGTTGAGCCAAGGTTTTGAAAAACTGAGTTCATTCGAACCCAGTCAAATCCACGACAAAATCAAAAATATTGACTCGTTTCGACCTCTGTTCTACACGACAAGTAAATTTACAACAAAAAGATGAGTATGAACGGGATTCTGAAAAGTGTACGTTGCCACTACCATTACCATGGATTTAAATTTTTATTAGCATTTACCAGCGATCACCAAGAATTCAAATTCCTTTTTTACCATTATCATCACCATAATAGAATTCTTTTGTTAACGCAGGACTCTAATAAGAAACAACGTAAATTTTCACAAGAATACAAAAATTTTGTTATTCAAGAAAATTGAGCATATGGTCAAAATACTGACCTACTTATTAGAGTAGAACATTTGAAGTTACCCGCAAATCCAAATTTTTACACTTTGGAAACTCAAGATACCAGAGATATATAATTTTCTCCGAAAGGTGTCTGAAAATGTTGTGCAAAATTATGGTTTCTTGTGTCTGCTTAACGTTTTCTCCATTCTCTATGGTAAAAGTTTAAATTATATAGATGTCAAATGAACACAAGGAGCTGAACAAAGTCTGATAATTCTCCGATCTATGAAGTCAAGCTGAAGAAAAAAGTCACATTTCAAAAGCGTGTAAATCTAGAAAAACCAAACTTTTCTGCAAAACCGGATCCGCGGTCTCAGTAACGTTTTCTCCAATTAAGTTTCATGCCACTGTATTGTGAAGACGGAAACTGGCATTACAGATCTTGTAATTATCAAATTTTATTCAGCTTCTTTTGCTCATTTGACATAACTTTTAACATAGAGAATGGTGAAAAACTGAAGCAGATACAAGAAACCATTATTTTGCACAACATTTTGAGAGACCTTTTCTTGAAGGAAAATTATGTACCTCTGTCACATTGAGTTTCCAAGATGTAGAAATTTGAATTGGGGGGTAACTTCGAATGTTCTATTCGACGCGTCAAAAACGTTGATCAATTTTTGACTGCACGACATGTTTTATTGTGCACGATATTAGTGTGAACCCTCTCGTAAGTTTAGTGAGAGGACGATTCGCCTTGAATCAGTCTAGGCACAGATATTTTAGTCGTAAAACCAGTTATATATAAAACTGTTGCATTGCAATATGACTCTATTCTGGTCCTCGCTGTTTCCTAGTAATTCAAAACACAAAATTTTATTTTCCAGGAATTGAAACTTCTCCATCGTTCACCATCGAGTTTGAACTTTCAAGAGATATCATATTTCCAGTGGGTAATTATCCGAGCGTGAACTATCCAGTCTTCCAAGATCAGGTACGATAGCTGCAAAGAGACTGATTTATGACTCTTTCTTTCTATTCATCGGTGGGTAGTTTGACTCATCGTGTTCTTTCCACAACTCCCTCGATCACAGACAAACTCTACAAATATTTTGAGCAACAGTGAGGCAGAGAGTCAATCACACACCGGTAATACAGGAATAACTACTGTTCGTCAGGCGTGCCCCTTCAATTACCATCATAGACAGCTGATTTACTACCATCGTGTTCTAGTGACGTTTGCGAAAACTGTACTTATGCCACCGAATAATTTCAACATGTATTTTACTCAAAATCTCCTAGATAGCAGATCAGCTTAACATCCTTCCGAGCATGCTGCAAGTAGTCGGAGTACAAGTATCAAATAACAACGAAAACCCACACCAACCGTACGTACTATCATATTAGACACCAACAATGGAACGAACTGCTTACTATTCATTTGCTTAACACGCTCAATCCACACGGACCGTGCAGGTCGATCTTGAAACGGCTTGAATCCAACTTCACCAACACATTTCAGATCATCACGGAAACGCCGCCAGCTCGACACCCAAACCCTAATTCTAGATACCATCTTCCCATACCCCGATAATTGCACTACAGCAAACTGTCACGCAGCATACATAAAAACCATAACAAACCAGCTATCGACCTTAGCACCAACATCAATTCAACTATACTGCCCAGACGGAGTCACACGCACCGCTCAACTGGCACCAAACAACGTCGGTGTGACACTTTCCAGTATATCTGATATATGTAAGTTCTGAATATTCATGTGTGTGTGGAGTTAACATGAGTTTTACTTTACTTGCTTTCTCTGACAATTTCAGCACCGGAAATACCAGGCTCTTTGTCATCCACGTCGACGCCCATTACACTAAATCCGTTACAACCCACTGCAACACGTGAGTGCTCTTGCTCCAGTAGCATTCCCGCTTCAGTTCGCGGCAAAAATACAGCCT